GGTTCTGGGATTTTTGCTCACCGTTCTTGTGATCATTTTGACCCCACGGGGTGAGATCTTGCGTGGAGCCCCAGATCGAGGGAGATTATCAGTGGTCTTGTATGTCTTCCATTTTCTAATAATTGCTCCCACAGTTGATTTCTTCACACCAAGCTGCTTACCTATTGCAGATTCAGTCTACCCAGCCTGGTGCAGGTCTACAATTTTGTTTCTGGTGTCCTTTGACAGCTCTTTGGTCTTGGCCATAGTGGAGTTTGGAGTGTGACTGTTTGAGGTTGTGGACAGGTGTCTTTTATACTGATAACGAGTTCAAACAGGTGCCATTAATACAGTTAACAAGTGGAGGACAGAGGAGGCTCTTAAAGAAGAAGTTACAGGTCTGTGAGTGCCAGAAATCTTGTTTGTTTGTAGGTGACAAATATTTATTTTCCACCATAATTTGCAAATAAATTCTTTAAAAATCAGACAATGTGGTTTTCTGGATTTTTTTTTCTCATTTTGTCTCTCATAGTTGAAGTATACCTAGGATGAAAATTACAGGCCTCTCTCATCTTTTTAAGTGAGAGAACTTGCACAATTGGTGGCTGACTAAATACTTTTTTGCCCCACTGTATATCAGTCTGCTTCTTGCCCTGCTTGCTGAATCCCACTCATTTTCCACTGACCCCGCCCCCTCAAACCTTCAGCTAGCCCTTCCCATCTCATCAGCACACCTTGGCAAACAAGTATTTAAGTGTGGCAGTGGCCGTTTCTCAGGCCGTTTCTCAATCTCGAGGAAACTGGCTTCCAAGCCAATATTTCAAGGATACTACGTCATCGAGTGCCGCCGAAGGACTGTTCCAATCTCCAGCATACTTGGAATTCCACCGAGGCCGCGTCCTTGGTTTGGGGGTAATTTCGAGGCTGCACATGGGTAGACTTCGCGTCCTTCAAATCCCCACAATGCTTTGCGCACGGACCAATTTCCCCAAATCTGTGGTGGAAAATGTAAGGCGGGGCCTCTCATATGACGCACACCTGCACACTTGCTAGCCTGTTCCACTCTGCATTTTCCGAATGCCAGGAAGGATTCTTGCCTAGCTTCTGAAGGAAGTGACTCGGAAGACATGTGCTACCAAGCAAGCATCCTCGCGATTGAGAAACGGCCTCAATCTCGAAGATTCTGGCTTCCAAGCCAATATTTCAAGGATGCTACGTCATCGAGTGCCGCCGAAGGACTGTTCCAATCTCCAGCATACTTGGAATTCCACCGAGGCCACGTCCTTGGTTTGGGGGTAATTTCGAGGCTGCACATGGGTAGACTTCGCGTCCTTCAAATCCCCACAATGCTTTGCGTGTCTGTCTTTCTACATCGTTCGACGCTTTGTTCAAGACTTTCCAGCACTCTTTCCCGGACTGAAGCCGCGGTCCATTTACATTGGAAGTAGGAGGTCGGAACTGGGAGTGATGTCACATACGAGTTGAATGTGTTCCAAGAGCACAAGTCGGAAAATAATGGCCGCCCGAGAAAGTTGTTTGCCTTGGTAACAGCTTTAGCAGTCACTTAATTTAGCCATTGTTAGCAATACCGCTTGATACTCTATGGTATTTTGTGAATACAAACATCGTTGAAAAATATCCACGTATAGAAGAAGAGCAGTACCATATGCACAGTTGATTTAATGTGACACAATAATACAGAAGAGGCAAAAATGTTATATTATCAAAGCGTTTTCTTAACATTAGATATCTTAACAAATGCAGAGACTCCATCTTGAATGATGATCTCAGGTATGGCGAGGTATCTCTGAGTTTTCAAGTAGGAATTCCGACCTTGGTGATTTCCAGTTGAAATTTCTGACACAACCCATTACAGTATAAGGGATACAAGCAAGTTTAAAAGTCAATAGAAAACACCGGTGGAGTATTAGGAAACAAACTTTTATTTAAAAAAGAAACATAAATAAACCTACAGGAGTTAAGAGATGAAAGAAACAAGACCCTACACTTGAAGAAAATTGCATAATTAAGATCTGCTTCCAGTCAATAATAATTGTGTTTCCTGGCTAAACTGACTCAATGTGCTAAAGACACACCATCAATAATCAATTCAATGGATCATAACCGTTGATTGAACAGTTTTCCTTCAAACTCAACACATTCAGACACATTTATTGAACTGAAAGAGACCGTGACTCGTGTGCGTGCAGTAGTGAATGTTAGTCATGGCTTTGATCAAAAGAAATAGGTTTGCCACAACATTAAAAAAAAATGTCATCACTCCAGAGCATTCTCAAGATAACTATAGCTCAAAGTTCTACCGTTTCGCAAACAAGTAAATTCAAAATACTTGTACATTTGTTTCGAACATGTAAAGATTTACAATAACATTCCCACAACCATCATCAGCCAAAAAGAAAGAGTTAATGATCAAATGAAAGAGGATTTACAGCAGGGTTCAAACTGAAAGAGGCTCAGGTTGACATAAAGTTTAAAGTCAAAGTCCTCTGAAATAATTACTGGAGAGATAAATCATAAATCTGTACTGTTATGCGTTTAAACAGCAGGATTACCTACAACATTATCAGAACCTTTGGAGATGAACACCTGGGTTGAAAATACTTGAATTCTGTTAAATCCAAACTCTCATGTGTCACTTAACAGTCCAGCCAATACTGCAGTTTGCACACAGGGAACAGTGCAATACGGGCACTTCCTTTAAATGATCACACACATATCAACTAGTCCGGAAAGTTTTCAGGTCCTTCCTTAGGGTGCCTCCAGCCTGTTAGTGTCTGTTTCCATTGTGACATGAGGGAGGTGAGGGCTCGAGACAAATCGGGGAAAGAACCATTCTTACTTGTTGGTTTTGTTTGTGTGAAAATATGTGTTCATGTCCATGCGCACACAAATGCACTGGGTATGTCTTTCTGGAGGGGGAAGGATGCTGGATGTGTCAGTGTGTGTCAGTGTGTGTGTGTGTCTGAGTCTCATGAAATGGTGGAGAACTCTTTAAGCAGGACGTCCTGACTCAGCGTGTTCAGAGAGACGTTCTTCCTCACATTCAGACTGATGGAGCGCACCTGGAGACACACAGAGAAGGACATTCAAAGTAAAACGGATAACAAACTGTGGGCCTTGCACTTTGATGTTGACTTCAATTCAACTCTAGAGTTTCTCAGCCTGTGCTGTTTATTTATATTTGTCTCAAGTCTTCCAACTGCAATAAAATCAGAGGAACACCCCTTTAAAGGGACCCTAATTCTCTTTTTCAGGGTTATATATTTTTTTTATATTTTGTGCTGTACAACACACACAGGATATGGAAAGAAAATAAGCTTAATAGGGCATCTTTAAAATCTTCCTCAAGCTTCCTCATCATTGAAATTGTATATGAAGTGACATCCCCACAGAGCCTGAATCTCAGAAGACTACATTAAACTCCTCATCACCCAGAATACATTGCTCTTCGTCTCTTACCAGCTCCTTGAAGAAGGCGGCCTCTTTGGGCTGCTCCGAGTATCTCTCAAACTGGTCTAAACCATCCTGCAGTTTGAGCGTCAGTGTGTCGTAGTTGGACCGAACCACCTCCAACACCTAGCAGAGGAACAGAATGGAAACGAAGACGACTGTGTTACTTACATCACACCATAATACAGGGAGGTTAATGCATCGCACAGTGAACACTGAATTGTCACCAAGCAGTCAAATATTTATTTGTGCTTAATACTTCATTACAACATCTTTATTCATGAGTGATCTATCTTTTCCTATCCACGTAACTGCCTATCATCAGGGTCAACTCTTATCAGGGATATGCTCGTTTGGAAAAAAGGACAAATTAGCTGTCGACTGATTAAAAAAAAAGTCAGTCAACCTTCTATAAAATGGTTTAGTCCAATTTCTCCACAAAATTACGCACTAAATGTTTATATCCGTGAGGTTTGTATAAAAATGTTTGTTTTAAAATTGTTTTTTTCTTCAGATGAGCTGAATGGTTCTGAATCTGTAACAAAAATGAGAGTGTGTGTTTTCGTACCAATGAGATTTAGTAAGACTTCACAATCAGAGCATTTTCCCTTGGGTAAGGATTCAATAGTTCACAGAAAGGTCAAACAGAGCATAACGCATATGTGTGTTTGAGTGTGTACAGTGTGTGTGCAGTATGTGCGTGAACACACATGCCTCAAAGTCCAGCTGAGATAAGGTGAGCTGAAATCAGAGGTAATTATTCAGAGATTCTCCACACTCCCTCCCCTGCCATCCTCTCATTCAACCGTGAAATAGCCCCCAAGCAGACCTCTTATATTACTTACACACACACACACACACACACACACACACACACACACACACACACACACACACACACACACACACACACACACACACACACACACACACACACACACACCAACACACCCACACACTAAGGATGGCCTTCCTCCCCTCCGCGTGAGCCATGACCAACTTGTTAGTAGCACAAAAAATATGAAAGTGGAAAAACTGGAGAATCCGACTCCGCTGAGCGACTTTCTGTTTCCCTAAGCAGATATGGTTGTGTGCATGCTTTTATCCTGCAGTGTGTGAACAGAAGCAGCATGTGTGTGTGAAGTGACTTGTATGTGAGAGACAGAGAATGTTGTAACGCTGTGTGTTTCTGGAGGCCATCCATCTTCTACTGTCACTGGGGGGAGTGAAGTTGCTGCAGGCAGTTCAGCTGTGTCTGTGAGAGTGTGTGTCGAGGACTGTATGTCAAGAGAAAATACAAGGAACTTAATTTAAGTTACATATGAGTATTTTCTAAAGATGTAACTGTTGTAAATGTCCCTCAAATGGACCAAAGTTCAACACATATCCACCTCCATCCCACCCACTAATCCATGTTTAAGTGTCTGACACTGGTTACATTAACTTCACTTACCCTAATGTTCATCAATAAGATGCAAGATTTTTGAATGAAATCCTATGAGTATATACATTATCTTTGAGCGTTATTTTGTTTGGGCTGAGGCAAAATTTAAATTGTCTTGTGTTCAGTTGAAAGCTTTCAATGTGCTTCACTCAACTCTCTCCTGCCTCTTCGTGAAAACACACAGGCTAATCGTTCTCATAGCATCGTTTTTGGATGTAAGCAGCTGTTTTCAGAAAAAGAATCTCTAAAGACCCATTCTCCTCAAAGTGCACAACAGAAAACAGTAAACAGTTGTCACAAACACATCTCAAAATGAATGATATTGTTGCTCTGTATCTGCAGGATGTGTTAATAAGCAACTGGCTAGAAGTTCAAATTCGTTAAAAGGTAACTGTTGGAGCCAATTTGGGTGTTTTCATTTTTTACAGTTATTTGGGCACTTACACGTCTCGTAAAATGTCTGTACTTGTTCATATCCTTTTTTGAGTCGTATTTGTTAACACAGGCATACAACATCTGTACAGTATAAGCATAAAATGAGGCTCAATGAGGACAAGAACACTGATCAAAAATAACAAATGTTCAAGAAAAAAGTGACTTTATCTAATGATAGGGGTGTTAATATCACAAGCAAGAAATCATATATTAGTCCAGCAGTTGCTCTCATGCCCCTTTCACACCAACGCGTTTTCAGCTCCGGCTTGGAGCTGGAGCCTGAAAAGTACCGTTTTTTCCTGTTCACACCTCAGCGGCGCCGCCTCTTAGCTCCGGAATCCGGTTCATTTCCAGCTCCAAAAAATCGTATTTGTATTCGGCGACGCAACAGTCGGTGTCGGCGACTTCTCAGGTGACTGGCCGGTGTATCTGGGCCTTAAGGGGAACTGGGGATATGTATCAGCTGCTTGTGTGACAGTCAGACAGTGAATACTTTAGAGCGGCCGCTGCAGTGTGAGCTAACCGGGAGCTAACGGGAGAATAAATTCCCGTGGAAGAGCAGCCAGCACTGCAGCGGTCGGTAAATGCCGCTGAAACACTGCCGCCGAGAAGTCGTTATTTAATTTAATCTGGCTTCGTGTGATTAAAAGCAACAGGATCATCGATCCGACGCAGTCCCCCATTATTGTTGTTGTTGTTGTTGTGAGCGCCATAACACCGTTGGGGAGCAAATCAGCGGTTTAAACGGTGACGTCATGACGCAGCAGCGGCTGCACCAGTCGGGCTCTGGGCGGTGTGAACAGAGCGGGAGCAGAAAAGGGAAACCGGAGCTGAACCAGAAAAGCTCTAGCTCGGAGCTAGAAAGGGAAAAGCGCTTGTGTGAAAGCCGCATTAGAGACCAGAGCTAACTGCTGCCTTCCTTCTTTGTTGTGAATAAATCTCGCAGATAAAAGCAGAGAGGTAATTGGAGAGCATAATGACCAAATCCATCACTCTCTTATCAGCTTGTAAAAAAGGACTCTTCTGGCTCTTTTCCTACCCTTAACAATTCGACATAAATGAGAACGCCTGAAGTGAAGCTCACAACGGTCATATCAGCTCCCTTACAGACTCAAGTGTTCCCACTGACGATGAAAGAATAACTCAGGGAAAATTGAGTCATTAAAAAAGCTGGACGCTTTGTTGATGAGTTTTCAAAACCAGGGCTACAGATATAAGAGTCACTACAACTGAACTATATTTATGCTTATGTAAAACTGTTTAAAACTATCAAAATACGTTTATTGTCTTACTGTGTAGGAGAAAACTATTAGGTTGCATTTCAGTGTTACAGACAGTTTTTAGTTTTGAGGAAAAGTCCTATTATTGTCATCTGTAGTTAAGGGACTATTAAAGACTACAATTCCCAAGATGCCAGCCTTTAAGAGACACAGTTGAGACTGAATACAAATATATTAAAAACAACATAATAGAAAGAAGGTCTAAGTTTGTTTATCATTTTTATTTGAGTTTTGCCTCTTTTGATTTGTTTGAGTTTTGTAAAGGCCTATTTTCTATGCTGAATGTTTGTGAAAATAATTGTATTTTGAAAAACAAAGAGTCGCATAACTTCAACACATCATCAGATGCCAAACAATAGGGAAAACAAATAAATTAAAAGATAAAGCGTAAGAAATATCTGTCTTAAAGGCATCTAAGTGGCTTAAGGGAAGAAAGGAAAGAAGCCGCGACACTCAGTGTGTATTTCACCGTCTGTAGTGCAGTGTTGAAGGGTTCATTTTGATGAGAACAGGTTCCTCCCACCTGTCTGAACTGTGTGCACTGTGCAGTGAATCAGCCCCGATGATGAGCGGCTCCTCTCCGTGTCTCATCACAATGAGGCATGTGTGAGTCATCCATCTCTGCCACATAACTGTTACTACTCCATGATGATTAGGCATTCTTTCAAAAAGAAATGCCAAGCACTTCAAAGCACTGAGCGTTTGCCATTGTGTGCTAAAAAATGCATAGGATTTACTTTTGAAATGACAGCAGTGAGGTTTCCGTGGCGTTCTGGCAAAACGTCCCCAGACATGATGCCTATTTTATTTTTTTACGAGGAACTTTTTGTTAAAGTATAAAAGGAAAAGTGTGTTGTGTTTACCTGTTCTTCTGAGAGCTGGGAGATGTGGTTCACAGAAGCGTACGACTCAATCTTGGGATTAAAATGGTTTACGATGGCCCTGAAAGACAAGATTAAGCAACATGAAGATTTTCCCCAAGTCCAATGATTTAAACTAAATGACCAACATGTATACCTACACACGATTATAAAAAAAAAAGCCAAACATAAGGTTACTTCTTGTTAACATAATAATAATAACATAATATTTGAAGGTAAGAAGATAAGCATTTTGAAAAAATTTGAGGAGGCCATATTTAGCTAATTTTCAGGTTCTTATTTGTATTTAGTGCATCTACAGTGACATGTCTCCATGATTTAATGATAACAAAAAGTCTTTATTGTTCTAATACTGCAGCACCTCTTTTCACCCTATGTCTGAAACCAGAGCCCAGTCTGCTCTGATTGGTTAGCTGGCAGGCTCTGTTGTGATTGGTCAACCGCTGAGAGCTGTCCAACCCCTTAGCCTATCACATACAACGTGTTGGAGCGCTAGCCAATAGAAGCGCGGGTGTTACGTAGTGATGTCATAATGTTACAGGAGTAAACAGAGGAGTCCAATGGAGGTGTTTCAGGCATGGGGGGAGTGTGTGGGAGAGAAACTCCCTTCGGAGGGAACTCTGGGATGTTAGCCTTTTACAGGCCATTTAAATGCACAAAAATCTATATAATATTCTACAGGAGAGGGCAAATTATTCAGTCGTTTTCAATTTCTTCTCAATTCAAATATATATACTGCTTTATATTTCAAATATAAGTTAATGCCGTAAGCACAGCTGTGAGATGAAATGGCTTATTTGGTATTGGCTTAGACGAGTCATATATCAAATAAATTATATTAAGGAAAATGCAGAGAATTCTCCATCGTGGTAATCCTATGTCATTAACGTATGAGCCAGCGTATGGAGGAATGAGCTGGTGGGAGTATAATGGGATTGGTCCATTCACTTAATTGAATTCAACACACACATTTAATATTTCTGTGGGTTCTATATTCCTCTCTGATTCAACTATTCATATTTTCTTCCACATATTATTATTAAAAAATGGTTTTCCTCCCCGCCTTCCTGTGTTGCCTTCCTTACTCAGGCAACACAGACCAGTGCCCCCCTAACACTGACCTCTGAGCCCCCTGTGGCCCCCCTAAAAATGAAAAGTGAAAAAAGTGAAAAAGATGAAAAATGTATGATTTATTACACGATTTATTGAATGACGGAATAGGCGGAACTAACGTTATTCGTCATTCTAGTCGGACCCATTAGAACGGTGCACTCAGGACCCATTAGAGCGGTGTTTAGAACGTTTCGAGAGACTACCACGATAATTGAAGGTGAGTTAACTTGTAATTGTAGATGTAAAGTAGAGATGTAACTGTTCATTGCCTTTATTTTTATATAAATATGATATGGTGTTAGTGCAAAAATTGTACTATAACTTAAGCTGAAGCTAACAGTAATAACTATAAGATATATCTGAAATAAATAAGTGTACTGAAACAAATACCAATAACTGTATTGCATTGTTTTCTTATGCGCAATTACTTCATACTGTCTAGTTCTCTTTTTCATCCTGCATTTATTGTGCCCCCTTCAGAAAATAACTGGCCCCCCAGTGGCCCCCCCAGTCAAATTGGTCTAGAACCGCCACTGCTGATTGGTCAGCTCGCTGCTGCGAGGAGCTGTCAGTGTGAGCTGGCTTACTGGTGTGGTTTCCTGCTTGCTGCGAGACATCGCGAATGGACGCGGGAAGGGGCTCTGCGAGGCTCCACTAGTGTTAGTGTTTTACTCGCTACAGGGTGTACTTTGATGGTTTGTGACTCTGCAGACCATTTACATGCATAAAAACCTTCATAACACACAAGGGGACGGGTAATAACTGGAAAAGCACGACATGGGACCTTTAAAAACTTAACTTAATTCACTTTATGTGAGATTTCTTAATCAAATCCTTGTTTTTAAATTCCCTTTAATCAAAATATATTTCTCCTTCTTAGGGTACAGCATTTGTGTGCTGAGTGTGTTTTTACCGAACGTTGACAAGGGCATGCGTGACTTTACTGGCTGGCTCTTTCCACTGGCCCGTGTTGGTTGATACTCTCAGAACTAGAAGGCAGAGAAGGACATAAACACAAAGTTAGATACACATATGATGTCAAAATTACGCACATTTACTTTCCTCTGTGGATAAAGGAAGGGCTTGGAAGTTTTGCTGTCGAGAAACTCCCTGTGGAGGGAACTCTTGGATTTTAGCCTTTGCTGACCATTTACATGCACACAAACCTATATAACACACTATAAGAAAGGGAAAACCCCAAAGAGCTTCTCTCAAATTGTATTTTTAGCCTATTTATTTGAGACTGACATTATTTGAATAATAGCTTTTGTAGGGGAAATACAATCGCTCGGGTTAATCACTGCCATTTTATTTCTCAATTATTTAAAACATGGGACTATTAAATAAAGCAGTATATGTAAAAAAAGACAGGCTTAGAGTTTCTATATGTTGTTGTGTGTCTTAGCAAGGTATTATATATGTTTTTGTGAGTAAGTAAGTGTACTAAACTGTATTGAAACATTAGCTAATGGGGATCTAAATGTATAAACAAGTCAACATACCCATACAGTAGAGGTTGTCGAACACCTGGTGCATTCGTACGATTTCATAGTACAGCTCGTCGTAGCTGTTGGAGGTGGGCAGGAACGTGTCGCCGTACGTTATAAACATGTTGAACAGGTTCACCACCTGATGAGGAGACACACATTAGATGACGGACAATATTCATTTTCAAAGGAACCAAAAAAAAAGTTATATAATTCATATTGCATCAGTTTTTGCACACACAGCCTGTTAGTCTCTTTCCTCGTCGGACACGCACACAAAAAAGGAGTTCCGACACGCATCCTTGTGGAACTAATTTCCTGTGTGTGTGTGTGTGTGTGTGTGTGTGTGTGTGTGTGTGTGTGTGTGTGTGTGTGTGTGTGTGTGTGTGTGTGTGTGTGTGTGTGTGTGTGTGTGTGTGTGTGTGTGTGTGTGTGTGTGTGTGTGTGTGTGTGTGTGTGTGTGTGTGTGTGTGTGTGTGTGGTGTGTGTTGTGTNAATCTCAATGATGCAATACATTTCTAAAAACAACAGAACCAATTACTTCAGGGGAAATTGCAAAAAGCATCAACTATTTACTCAACTCTTAAAGGTGGGGTAGGTAATTTTGGAGAAACCAGCTCGAGTGCGCTAGAATTTGAAAATACACAGCCGGAACAAATCTGCCACTTCCTTACAGAGCTCCTCCTCCAACACACACGAACGCGCACATGACCAATGAGGGCACGAGATAAGTTTGTGCACAGATGGAAGGCTGACAGGCAGGTAGGCCATCCAGTTATTTTAGCCGGGCCGGCTCAGATGATTGGCCGTGCTTTATACATTACTATGGCTTCCACAGATTAAATTTGTTATGGATTTTTTGTCGAAGCACTTAAGATATTCATCGCTATCGGGATGTTAAGAGCATTCCATGGAATATAACAAAAAGTGTATCTCCCGCCGGTTTCTCAAACTTACCTACCCCACCTTTAAGGTGGTCCCCAGCAAAACAAAACATTATTTTATTACTAAAACATAATCTCTGAGAAAAATGACAAATAATTTGCAGCCAAAATCAATTAAGTTTGACCTTTTAGAAGGAATTGAGCAGTTTTTGTCCTGCATAGTATAGTATTTGCAAAGAATGGCAGACTCAAAATTATTTTTTATGAAACAAAGTTGAAATGATTGAAACTAGTGATAAAACTAGCCATAACAAAAAACCCTCATAATCCTTACATTATTCTGGTGATAATCAAAAGTGATTACTGTTCATTCTGAGAGTGACATGTTAAAGGAGCCCTTTTATGCTCATGTTCAGGTTTCAAATGTGTATGTTGTGTCTCTACTGTGACATGTCTCCATGCTTTAATGTTCAAAAAGCTCTTTATTTTTCTCATACTGCCTGTGCTGCATCACCTCTTTTCACCCTCTGTTTGAAACCAGAGCCCAGGCTGCTCTGATTGGTTAGCCTTGCTGACTCTGTTGTGATTGGTCAACCGGTTAGAGATGTCCCGCCCCTTAGCCCTTATACAATGTGTTGGAGCACTAGCCAATAGAAGCGTGAGTTCCTTGTTCTGTGAATGAGGTTGAGAGAGAAAGCAGGGCGTCTTTACCTGACCAGAGCTCTCTCCAGGTGTAGTGTAATCGGATTCTGCACTTCTTCTGGTAGCACAGGAGTTTGTGGATGATCTGCACACAGCGCCTGCACAGGAAACAAACACACAGCTGTGATGGCGTTGTTTTGTTTGTTTTTGTGAGTTATATGTGTGTGATATGTGTGTGTCCTCACAAGTATAAATCCATTGGGAAATCCTTCATCATATGAGTGACAATAAACTCCACCATCAGATCTAGAGAAAGATGGAGAAAATGAATCCCTGTTTGAAGAATCTTGCAATAATGCAACATCCAGTGAAAGAATGCCTTACAAATAGAAAAGAATCAGAGGTATCTGCTTGAAAAAAACAGGTTTGAATGTTTCCCATACCTAGAACTGCACACACCAGCGGGCGTGAAGGGATGTTCTTGTCAACTGCTTTTTTTCTGTGCCTCATCGGCTGAAAAACAAATATACAGAATTAAAATATAGAATATAGGTATGTAAATGCTCATATATAAGATGAATACCAGCATTCTACAATTCAATTTTAATAACAAATATTGTACAAGACATCTTTAATACGTAGCATATCTGGCTTAATGCGCAATCTTTTCCCTTTTTGTAGAGACGGTAGGGCTGAACGATATATCGTGTCATGGCGATAACCGCGATATTCACATCGCATGGATGTGCGATTTTATTTAAAAAAAATATTAATATATATTTTTTTTTCCTTTTTTTTTTAGGACGTGCGATATTAAGTAGGTAAATTAACTCAAACATGTCATGTTACAATTATTTTGCTGCTTACTACAAAAGGAAAACTTGCTCTCATGCCAGGGGTACTTGAGTGAGTGACATGCAGGCTCTGCATGAACAGCAAACCACCAATCACAATCATTCTTGATCAGATCACAGCAGGCCCCGCCCCGCTAGTTTGCAGTCCATCAAAACACCGGTAAAAAATGAGCGAGGCACAGGAGGACAATACCAGCGAGAATTAAGATTTACTTCCAAAAAGAAAAGCAACATCTGCCATCCGGAACTATTTTGGATACAAAAAGGTTCTTCTCTTCTTCATTCACAGATGAACCCCCTTATTTGAGGGTAAGCAACGTGCATTATCATGACATGTTAGATCATGACTTAAGGTATGATGAGTCAACCAGTTAAGATCCAGACGTCCGTGACTAAAATCCTTCATCCGGTTAAATATAGTTAAAAAAAATGTAATATATATCGCAGGGGAAAAAAATATATCGCAATGTAAGTTTTTTTCAATATCGTGCAGCCCTAAGAGACGTGTCACTCAAATTGAGGAAACATAATGAAGTATAATTTTCTTCATCAGGTAGTGGGCTTACGTGGAGTTAAATAACCGAGGTAAAGTCCGCTTTCTCCATTAAGCCAATTTCATAACACCATTTAGACGAGAAACTTTGTTTGGGGTAAGAGAAATATGATTTACAAATCTAGTTTTACATCGAGAAAGCTGATTTCTCTTAGATGAATACAAATATGAATCTGCTTGACAAACAGGGAATGTATCATCTGAGAGGTGGATGACAGGAGGAATAATAAGTATCGTTTGTATTTATTTACTGAAAATAACTACATTCAAAGTCTGACTAAAGCAACACAAAGTGTCCCCTCAAAATGTAAATCAATTAGTGTATTATCTGACTATGAACTCACTCACTTACTCACCATTCTGTGGAGATTGACTCTGAAGTTCATGTTGTCATCATGAAGAAAGGCATCAGCGTACTGATCCTGTGGCACACAGAGGAGAGGTCAGAACAGAGACAATCTGTGGGGGGGGACACACACACATAATGTTGCCTTTCCTACCTCGGCTATGCAGGTGAGGATGATGAGGCACAGTCTGGCACTGTTGAGTCGATGCTCATCTGGAAACACAAACATGAGACTCTTAACAGGTAGAAATAAAACAAAGGGCCAGGTAGTTGTTTCCTGAAGGTTATAGGTGGAAGAACAGCATTGATTTATCACTTCTATGTAAGGCGTCTACGTGAGGACGGGTCAGGACAGAGGTAGAGAATATACAATGAAAGAATGACACATTATATAAAGGTAAAGTGACAGAGACAAAGAGGAGGAGGAGGAGGAGGAGGAGGAGGAGGAGATGATGTTTACCTTTAGTGTCCTGCATTACAATGGAGGCGTACTTGAGGAAGGTGATGAGAAGGTTGCTGGTCTGCAGGTTGGGATCCAGAGGCAGCTCTGGGTTGTTCATCACTACAGAGGAAGATACAATCCCATTATTAAAAACTCTCTTAATATTAGGGAGGAAAAGGACAGATATAACAGAGAAAATGTAAATAATAATAATGAATCAAACTTGAATAGTGCAGTCAGCAATTCCATAAATAATGACCTCCCAAATACATGAGCTGGAACGCAAATCCTACCGTCTACACACTGGAGTAAATAAGAATCTGTCGCCCCTGTTTGGGCAGATGGAGGGCTCATTCAGGCAGATAAAACAATAAAAGAATGGATGTCTTTGTCTCATTACCGTGGCTACTGTAGCATGGCGCGTTGTATAGACAAGCGTTTTTATCCATTTAAAATCTCTGCTCGCTCAAACATACAACTTGTTTCATGGATAAATGATGAGCCCTCACTAATATCTTTTCGCCACAAATCCCCTCATTTGATATTTCTTCCCCACACCACAGGAAGATTCAACACTGTCAAACACACACATCATCACATGGGGCCGTACTGTGGTAGATGTGATTGCTGGCATAATTGTGTGTGTGAATGTTTCTGGTCGGAGCGGAGGATCCTAAGTGCTGACGCTCCCATGACATGTTCCAATGCACGCTGCATGTGGAACATTCATCTGTATTTCAAGCTGTAGTTTAATATTTCATACAGAAAATAGCTCTTAAGTTCGAGGCGATGGAGGGAGAGCCAGCCAGAGATAGAAAAACATGAACCTTTTAACAGTTACAGCGTGTGTGCATGCTGAATGACCTGCTTCTCCAACATGATGGCTATAATATGAAGTGAAGTGACAGCCATGCGCTCAAGTTTAAAGAGATGATAATAATAAGTATGCAGGCTCGGGTGTTGGAGTTATCTGATTATTAAAATGCAATCAAACCAAATTAGAAGCGAAATGTATTGTGAATGAGCATCTTTCTACTTTTGGATAACCATAAAAAATCTATTGAATATTTGACAAGGCATGTGAGCCTCTGTATGTCAACCCGAGGCTGGAGTTAGGGGGGGAGTTTTTAAAGATGTATGTAAAAACACTGGTCAGATTATATTTAGGCAAAGAAGCAGAGATCTGATGGGATGCCAAATAGCTTTAGAAATCCTTCAATCCATTTCGAGGTCCTGGGGCCTCATTTATAAAGGGATATACGCTCAAAAAATGGCGTACGCCAGTTTCTACGCAATGTTTGCGATTTATAAAAAACTAACTTGACGGGAAAACATGCGGTCCTCCACGCAAACTCTGACCCATGCGTACGCACTAAGCACAAAAATGGGAGAGATGAGAAACTGCGACACCGTTGGCAGAAGGAAGAATGGAGAGAAATATGTGGAAATAATACCATAAATAAAATGTTACCTCTCATTTATCATATATGAAGAATTAATCTTCATAAATTGATTAAAGCCAATCTTAAAATGATTTAACAAACGCCTGTTTGAGACTCCTCAGTGCAAACAAAAACATAACTTGGAGAAATAAATAAATACGGATATGTTATTTAAAACCACCTCGAATATGTTGTGTTAATGTTATGAAATGTTTTCTCATAAATGATGCGGTAAGCAGGAGGACAGAATTACGTCTAAACTGACGCCGTTTTGCATTTCTATAGGTTGTAGATACGAGCATGGTTTTATATACTATCATGTTTAATCATGTTTTATGCTGTTTGCTAAGACTTGATAAGTCGCTCATAATACACAGGAGGTATGGAAACTAAGAACATCATATATGGTCAATTGTACAGCTAATATAACACAACACATTAGATGTATTTCCTTTAACTGGTGGATATAGAGTTGCTGCAGTGGAGACGCTGCGCACAGCTGATCGACAGCTGGGACACAAACCACCAAATACGAAAACATAATTCAGATCCAGTCGTCATGACTCCACTCCGGAGGGATCCCCCGATCATTTCTTACAGTTTCTCATCAAGGGGGGGTCTCCTGTCCCAGGTACAAACACACTGCCTGAGGAAGGCTATGTTTATTTATTTTGTCATTAACCTTTTTCGGACCACTTATTTATTTATTTTGGTGATCCGACCTCCATGCTGCTACTCTGGTTCAAACTGCATCCACCAAACAATAGGATTTATCTCGACCTCCCCAAAATAACCAAAATCTGACACGGTGTGAGATTTCCTGCTCTCTTCTTCATAAAGTCAGTCAAAATGAATGAATGAATGGGCGTTTCATTGACTATTTATAGGCAAATATGGGCGTTACGTGAAGCCCGAAAAAGCTGCACCGCATTTCGAGTCGATTGTGATTTATAAAAGGGAAACAGGCGTAGGAAGTGCTGTACGCACTTTCCTCACCGGTACGCAATGTTTGGTGAATCGGAAAATGTCGGAAAATGTATGTACCTATTTTTTGGATTTCTACTACGTAAGCAACCTTCCCACGTGAATCCTACGCACGGCGTTATAAATGAGGCCCCAGGTCTCCAAACTTTTTTTTGTGCATGTACGTATGGCTAAAGGCTAACATCCGGGCTGAGTTTACACTAGGATTTACCATAAATATTTCAACTGAAACATGTTTTTCTACTGCATAACCTAAAACCATCGATATGCTCTGACAGGTGAAACATGGAGTTACGATTAGTTTCTTCCCCGAAAATGTGGATCCACAAATTGACATAATGGTAGATTTAGAAAGAGTAGTCCCTTACACTTGAGATCTTCCCTTCAGAAAGCTGTGGCCATCCCTGACACTTCTCCAATATGTCATGCAGTCTATGTCCTCCATAATAAAACATATGACAGAGTGTATGACTTACTGTCTAAGGATGGCGGTGTTGTGCCCAGTGGAGTAGTGGGTGTGGTTGGGGTGGGGGTGGTGGGTGTGGTTGGGATGTCCATCTCAGGGTGGCTCTGTTGATAGACCAAAACAAATGTGTCATTAATAGAGAACAGCTTTCCCTCGTGTCCCATAATGTTCAGGAGAATACAACAGTATAGACTGGAGAGGAGATTCAAACACAAACTAAGAGAAGAGAGCCTGGAAGAGTCTACCTCTGATTTTCCAAAAACATGTAATGGAAACACATTAATCATAGCTTCTAAGGAGATTTGTATTTAATTGCAGTACTGTTAGAGCATCACAGTGGCTTAATGGCCTTAGAATGGAAGTTATTCCGGAGACGTGTGAGGCTTCTTAACTGCATCCTCACTATTCAGTAAGTTTCTTAAGATGGCTGAAAGAGTGAATTTCAGTGTCTCCACAGGGATTAATAAAAGAAACAAAGTCAACTTATTTGAAGGAATATGTTCCAATCACAGGTTAACATCACTGGTACATTAATGCAATATTTGTTATTTCTCTCTTCTGACCACTGTCTTCTATTTTTTTTTTACGATCATCAGAAGATTAGACATTTGCAATTATTCATAGAGAAAAATAAGAACGTGGATTCAGGAAAAGCTTTAAAAAAATGTTTTAAAGCTCAACCTAAAGTTTGCCAAATTATAAAAACTAACACGATACTTTATAAGCTTTACATGCAGACAGGAAAAATAAGGGTTGGCAAGTATTGATTTTGACTAATCTTGCTACGCACATTGAAGTCCACTTTCTGTGACAGAAACAAAGCAGAAGCAGAAAGTCACTATTTGACTTCTTTATTTATTTGAAGGTCGTATTATATTGTATGAGCCTGGGACTTGTGATTTAGTTATTGTGAGTGATGAAACTTGACTCATTTAGGTTCTTAGGCTATGCAGACCCTTGTGCAGGGTACATATGTACAGTGTAATGATAAGTGGTGCATCTTACCTGTGCCAATACAGTGATGAAGTTGCGGTTGAGGTGCACAGCCTCATAGAGAGCCAGCAGAATCGCCTCATTGGTCCTTGAGAGGAAAGGGAAGTTAAAGGTCAGCTCATTCATTTATGAAGTAAGATCTCCAAAACATCACATGACATTAGACTGGGTAGGGGAAATCCTCAGGCTTTGATCCAGCGAAGCTCAAGAGGAGTTCAAGTGTTATCAACAATGACTTCATGGCTCACCAGGTAACCCTTTTTAAGTATCTGTACCATTAACTAAGGCACAATGTGTGTAATTAATGGTACATCATTTTCTTTATATTATATTTTGATAAATGACTTGACATTACAGATGTAAAAACAACATCCCTAAACTTTCCTCATCAATACCAGTAATTGGCTCCAATTTGGGCAGCAATACACAGATTACTCTGTACCTCTCAAGAAGTTTTCATATTTTCTCATCCAGACACATGTTCATGATCAACATGTGTAAATGTAGGCCCCGACAAATGGTGAAGTCGTGTCTTAAGCCAATCAAATGTGAGCCTGTGCTATAGAAGTTAAAGCTTTAAAGTATGGGTCAAAAACCAGATTCAGATTCAAGTGAAATAAAGCCAAAACAATTGCAGCTGTTCTCTTATTGAAGGTGCCGAGTACAATGCATAAAGGTTTGTGTAACTTCAACCGTATACTTTTGACTTACTGTACAGAGAGTTTCTCATCTGCGTCGGCTATAAACATGCTGCCCACCTGCGGAGAGAAGAAGGCAAACACTGTTAAAAACTAATAAAAACCAAAAGGAGGAAAAAGCAATCTATTCAAAATAAATGTACTTTAAATATGTTAACAATATGATCTTACCATACTAGTGAGGGTGGAGAAGAACCCACCCTGGTTCTCCTCCTCCTTGTCTTTGTACTGCCTAAAAAGGGGAACGAAAGACAAAGACAGGAAGTCATGAGAAAGTGGAGACAATGACAAATAAATTAAAGACAGGTAGGGCTACACAACAGCAGAGATATATGATTTAACTCAAACACAGCATAACACACAGTCACCCAACATCTCCTTCTTCTCCCCACAGCCTATTATCTAAGCTAAGGGACATTCACTTAAAAACAATGCACTGTGTGGAGCCGTCATCCATCACTTTGATTCACCTGTCTGTGCACGCAGGCAGACGAGACTTCCTTCACAAACAGCATTTTAATTTCCAGACCTCGCCTCATCCAAAAAACATTACCGGAGACTGCCAAAGAAAACTGTCAGATATAAATAACTGTTTCTTTTTTTTTCTTACAGGAGAATAGAAATAGAACATTTGTGCGAGACATCAAAATAAACCGATCACGCCAGTGGCCTCGGCACAGAACGGCCTGCATTGTTAAAAATGTTTTTGACGCATATTTGAGATCTCACCTGTTATATTCTGTCAGAGCGTGGTGGACCACCATACCCATTCCCTGGGGAAGAAAACATCAGGTGTTTCAGTCAAACCTTTGATTATATACTTGAGGTAAAACTTCTACTACTACTACTGGTGGTTACTCTGCGTTAAGAAGGGACAGGTGGTGACAGCATACTTACATCCAGTGTTGGCTCATCGTCCACAATGGAGAGCTTCACGATGTATGGATTCACAGACTGAAAAATGAATAGAAACAATTACATTTAAAAATGTTTCAAATGTGACACAAATATTAATACTGCATTGACAATAGGGCTTTTTATTTTTCATTTTATCGCCTCACCTACAGATAGGCTTAAAAAGTGCCTCTTACGCTCAGTAAAGCAACGACAACATACATGGAGCTCAGTTTTCTTTGAAACAAACAGGGTAGATAAGCCTGTGTGATGCCGGATTGTAAAACGGCTACATTTGTACTAGTTAGACTTACCTAAATACCTCAACTGCCGACCGTTGCAGGCATATTTTACCCCATCTCAAACATTTTTGAGGACATATTTTCCTAGAGTATATGCTCTTTGTGCGGCTGCTTTGGTTGCTTACATATGAGGCTGCATCCAACACTGCTCATCCTCTTAATCCCCCCGTACACTGGCGCTCTTATCCTTTCTAGGAAATAACTGCGAGGGACGTAGATTGGAAGTCATTTCATTTCAGAGAGCATGATTGCTTCTCTGTAATTCAAATGTAGGACAAGTGTGTCTGTAATACCTGACTTAACCGAGGTCACATGCTCATGTGGAGCCAAATACAAATGTACTTTCAGCTGCACAAACATCCTTGTTGATGCGTTCATGGTTGAGCTTGTTTCCTCAGGAGATTTTTCTAGTCTGAGCTTTGCATCATTTCCTTTGTAAAACTATAATTAAAAAAATAATTACTTTCTATTCCCTCAAGGGACAAGTTAGTAGTTAGAGTAATATATTATTTCATTTTCAGGGCATTTGGTTAATGGTAAGGTGTTTGTTTCAGCTGTATAATACATCAACTCCATCCAATTCCAGATGTGTTAGTGAGATATATTTAAATACTTTCTTTTTAATCTGTGGGCCCGTATTCACAAACTTCTGACAGCTTAAAGGGATGTCCCATTTCAGATATCTCAATTACGTCTTATGAGTATACTTGTATAGGTATCTGTTTGTGAATAAGATGAATTGAACTGAATCCAGTATTAAAAGAGACTTCTAGAGTTGCTTGTATTGGACAATTAAAGTTCCACAGCATATGTACACACCTCATATTTCCTGTAGTTGACCAGCAGGGCCAGGAGGACCACAGCGTCATAACCATGCTGCCCTCTACTGGACACATCTGACAGAATCTACAAGTACAACAGAGATGACCAATTCAGAAGGAGAGAAACAGTTTAACATAAATAAATAAAAATCTCCAATGTATGCTGCACATATTTTTTACTAAACACTTACCTGTAGAATGGCCTCAAAGATGCTGTTGATCATCACATATTCCAGTATAGTGTTCTGACTAATATTGTCCGTTACCTGTTAACGCATCATTCACATATAAGTGATATTCAATAGGTTTTTAACGGCACAAAAAGCATGACCTTTTGCTCTATGATTAGTCTTGCTGTTTTGATATTACTCACCGTCACCAGACACAGCAGCAGTTTGAGACAAAGGCTCTTCAGACTGTCTGAGCCTTCTCCACAAAGAAGGCTGTCCAGTCTCTCCATCAGGTCCTACAGGGAAAGCATACAACATGAATGAACGTGAATCATCTATTTTATTCCTTTGTTTCACCTTTCAGGGTATTTTCCCCACACACCTTCATCCTCTGCTCAGCTTTGTCGAAGCCCATGAGCATGTTGATGATGTCGAAGCCAGACGCAGACTTGTTCTTCTGGTGAACCCCTCGAAAAAGTGCACAGAGGGTCTGGGAAGAAAGGCAGAGGAGCATTTCAAGAAGAGTGACAAATATCATGTTTCATGGAATAATAACAGTTATATGCTCATCAGCATACTAGATTTCTGGGTCAGTTAGATCAAATTAGTGCCTGTAAACTAGTCCGAAAAGATTTACATTTTCCAGACTAACTAGAAATTCCGTCAAATATTACCTGTGTTTATTATTGAGCCTTTAAGCAATCTATAAAAAGGATATAAAGAATGACATTATCAAAGAATGTTGATTTATATTTTATTGAAAAATATATATACATTACATTACAATATATATATATATATATATATATATATATATATATATTCCCTCAGCTTAAGGCCAATATCTTCTCATATGAAATAAAAAAAAAAAATGCAACAAAATACATGTAGGCCTGCATGGCTCATAACATTGTAATCAAATGCTGCTGATGCCGACTTGAAATCAAGTGTTGATTTGATCCCGTTTTGCAAAAAAATTCAGATCTGTCTAACTGACAGATTATTCTGGTCTAAGTCTGGTAAATACCGGCTAACGTAAACCGTGTGTTATACTTCAGGTGCTACTGATGAGATGGAGACATGTGCAATGTAACCTGCTGTCCAGGTGGTCCTCCTGAGCTTTAGTTACCTGCAGGGCATTGACTACTTTGATCTGGTGCTCCTCTCCCAGAGCCTGGACACAGTGGTGGAACAGAGAGTTGATGTTATCCTGGATCTTCTGAACTTCCTCCCCATCGACAGTCTCCAACTTGGTCTCCAGGTACTCCAGGTTCACCTTAAACATGGTGGAAGGACAAAAGACAAGTTAATGCAAGGAAAAGTGGTTTTTCGGAGCAAAAGAAGGAATATTGTAAACACATACGAGAGGTGGATTATTGGGTTACAGTTCCATAGCCTACTTTATATAAATTGACAATTGTCAAAGTCCTGAACTGTGTACTAATCTGTGCAGCACTTTTTCTAGTTTGAGCACTTCACAACTTTCTTTTTTCTACATATATTGTGTGTCTTTTCAGATATCAGGGCACAAAATGACCACCCAAATGCTTGTATGATAGGCTCGTAAACGTGCATTACTCACCATCAAAAATACAATGATTATCTATTATTGGATGGTTACATTTTGACAGTTACTAGCCATTTGGTGGGTGTCATTTTTCTTGCCATCTAGTTTTCTTGCCATCTTGCCATCTAGTTTTTGACAAGGTAAAATTTACATGTTTCCCACAACAGCACTCCGGTATTTTTGGCACACAGGAACCTCATATTAATGTTTAAACGTGTTTAGGTACATATTATAATTTTCGATTTTTCCTTCAAGTTGCATACATATTTTCTACTGCTTCAACATTTTTGACAGTCTTTTATTTTGAAAGCAGATTACCGATATCTCATTTAGCTTTACTGCTTGCACACTTGGTCATCAACACAAACAACAGTGCTTTTTTGTTTATGCAGAACATACTGTATATGCACTCAACAAGATGTTGAGTATTTCTTATATTTACTTTACCTTCATAAGAAACAGCTCATCCCAGAACCGTGGGTTGTTCTTGGCCGGGTCCTCTTTCTAAATCAAAGAAGCAGAGAGGGCGATTGTTTACATTTGAAATATATTTTTTCTCTGTTGTCATTTCTTTCAATCACTGATACTCTCCTTTTTGAAATACTTACAGCAAAAATCTCATCATACATCAGCACCACCTTCTCTTTCAAGGGTTTCTTAGAGGACGACGTCCTCCTCAGCAGCCCAGCCTTCTTCTCCACCTGAGACATGACTGAGTCTGAGGAAAGAGACACAACGAGGTAGATGAGGATGCAGACCCGAACTATGTAAAAAAGCTATGGCGTATATCAACAAGGTGTATTCTCTTGGATAGATTCATTAAAGGATAAGGTAAACAATGCTCTATATTTTTGTCACACCCAACAAAGCGCATGAAAATACCAAAACCAACAATACGTCTGTTGGTTTGTCTTAGTACTGAATAATAATAAAAAAGTCCACTAAGATATACATATCACACACTTTGTAGTGAGATCAATTCATTGACAGTTGCTTACTCTTAAACAGTACTCCAGTTTGCAGCCTAATGTTTTCAGCAACAGATTGTCACTTTATTCATTACTGCTCTGTAAAGGAATACATGTATCTTCCATTTTACTATGATCTTTTTTGGAGAGTTCTTGTTACTACATTTTGTTTATTATCGACTGTGGACGTCAAAAATGTCATTCAGTGACACACCGGTAAGATATGGTGTATGACTAGTATTAGCAAATGGAGGTAGACGTTTTGGCTAGGTAAACACAGTAACCTAATGTTTAAATAACAAGGGTGGCAATATTGCGTTGGATAAAACATTTTGTGTTGACATTTGCTCAAATAGATGACACATGATATAACAGTTAACTATCATTAAAGCAAGTAGGGATGGGCTGCTAGCTAGTTAGCTAATAATTGCTAACTGACACATCGTTAGTAAGCCGGTTTGAATAGTAAACCACTAACAGAAACGTGTTTAAGTTAAAAAGCATGAGTTGTTGTCCACTCGACACATATGAAGAGCAGCTGGTTTATTAGTAGCTACATCACCAAACGAAAGTCTGCTAATGTGTTTATATTCTCACAGCTAAAGCTAACGCTACCCATTGCTAGCTAAGTTAATGCCTGGCAGACCAGGGTTGTAACATGTAATGTCAGGGTGCTATTGTTGACAACATCACTATGAACATGGCTTCATTAGGAGCGTGGTTTGTTCTTACCTCAATCCAAGTATTACAATTAAAAAAGGGAGTTCATTAATCCCTGTGACAACACTTGTCTCTGCTAGCATACTGATGCTAACAATAGCATCCTGCTGCTGGTCTTCGTGGTCCTAGTGCCCCACAGTAACCTCTCCTGTAATGTTTACTGAGTGCCCTGTTTAGTGAGTTTAATAATTGCCAAACAATGACATTATTGGATTATGTAATGCCATTGGGGTCATTCACGCCTCACATGCATGGGCACTAAATCAATTAACACGTACAAAATTAGTAGTAAAAATAATTGCTTAGGTCTTAAGAGAAAGGAAAGCATTAAAGGGCAAGTAGCTGCAAATTGTAGACAAGCCATTATCATCAATTAATGAATTAGTTATTCTGTCAAGAAATTAAATGTTAATTTATGAAAAGATGTTGCAATAAAAATGTTTAGACTTATATTATGAAGACTCTTTAAATGGGTTATATTTGTCTTAAGGCCATAGATACAGCACTGTATCTCCTCTGACAGTCTGATCATCAGTAAGTGCTTCTGTGTTTAATCATACTGTAAGAAGAGGGTATAGCCTACCTCTATATGACATTTGTATCTCTATGGAAAAACAGACTTTGAGTGATGATCAGACTTTGTTTTATCAGTGAACAGACTCGGCATTGAAAGAAGATTGTTTTGTCTTTATCTATGGCCTGTGGCTGTTTGTAAAGTGCTTTGAACTCTGCATACCCATTAAAAGTGGTGATTAAAAGAAGTCTGATTCAAGCAGAATAGAGTTTAGGATTAAAAAAAAGAATTGAAAGAGTGACAAGCCATCTGTGAGATAATGAAAGCATGCAATAGTTTATCCTAGATGTAATCAGCAGGGCAGAACATGGTGTGAAGACATGATTTACAGAGGAGCTGCTTAAAAGAGAACTGAGATTTATGTTTGAACTGCTCACTTCCTTACATTTACGCCCCCAAGTTTCACAATCTTATGTATTGACCTCTATGGTATTGACTTTTAAAAAATGACAGAGATGCCAATCTCAGGAATTCATATGTGTACTAATCTACAGAGCCCCCTAGGGGATGGAGAAGAAAAACACAATTATTTGAAAAAATAAAATGTTTTGCGAGATTTCGCAAAGCTCAATGTACATCCTGGTCAGTTCGGCAACACAGAAACCACAACAATGGAGCGGTTCATCGATTTTACTTTGAGCTTGGCCTTAAAAATAAATATATAACATCAGTGCTTGGCAATAGGCACGGGTTTCACATAAGTGAAAGACACCTCGAGAGAACACTCAGAGCGAGGGATGCACGTCCCTCTGAGCTGAGTTATTGACAGATTCGAATTTCGCGGATCAATAACTCATGAACATAACGTTGTAAAAATACAAAAAACATGACTTTACAATCATAGCAAGGTAGACAACGAGCTACAGAGTCGTTTTTATCAGAACAGTTCGATACGCGCCGTCATCTGAGCTAAAAATCAAGAATTGGTCACAATCTGCAGCTGGAAGAGGAAGGAGTGCTTAGGGACCGTCTACAAACTGCAACGGGATTTTGCAAGATCTCGCAAAAAGTATTGCAAGATCTCGCAAAACATTTCTTTTTTTTCAAATAATTTGGTTTTCTTCTTCATGTCCCCTAGGCAGGGGGCTCCGTACTAATCAGCGTTTTAATGGCATTTTTACATGACTTCTTCCTAATCAACCCCACAGAGGAAATGTGTTAGATGCATAAAAACTGCTTTTTAATTAACTACAGCGGGTTGTTGATTTATACATTTATCAACATTTGTGAATGAGAGTAAAGGCAGAATTCTGTGGTAGGCCTGTTTTTCTGCTCCGGGTAAATAAATTGAACAGTTTTGTCTCCAATTTAGAGCAACAGTTGATACCTCTGTGTTGTGACCCCATGGGTTCCATGGTCAATTAACTTCACCATCAAGGTACTATATTTCTGGTAAAGACTACATGGAGCGCCTCAATTTCCACGACGAGTTTCGCTTTTTACCGCGTCATTAGACAGAGGAGATGAGGCAAGAGAGAGGAAAGCAAATCAGAATATAATGAGAGAGCGTTAGAAGAGAAAACATCATTAACTGACACAAATGGAGGGAGGGAGACAAAGTTAAACGGTAACTGTTTGAACACATTGTTTTCTAACTTTTTTGCAGTTTGAAAGTTTGCTTGTAGTAAGGATTTTTTGGCCAGAAGCTCTTAGTCACGACATGATAACACCACGTTTAATATAGTGACCCCTGATAGAAACCAGTGTGAAATGAGAAAACACTTGGCCTATCTCAAGCGGTATACCACCATCAGAAGGAGATTCCTGTGCCAAGACATTCCTCAATAAAATCCTAATCCAGTGTATCCCGATGTGCACTAAACCTTTAGATTTGCAGTCGCCAGCTTTCTTGCAACATCCAGGGGAGCAATCCTAAATGTTAGATTAAATTATCTATACATCCTTGGTTAATTGTTGTTGAATGTTGTGATCTTAAAGGACCAGAGTGGCGAATTAAAGGGTATTTATTGTCTGAGATCAAATATTATATTTATAACTATGTTTTCAATAGTGTATAACCTTCTCGAATTAAGAGTCCTGTTTTTGTTATTATAATGAGCCTTCTTATCTATACTCAAAGTCCGCCATTTTTGCACAGCCATGTTTCTATGCCATGATACACTGATAGTTATATGCCATGTTTTGGTAGCCTAGCATGGAAAAAACGAACTGAATCTAAAGAGAAACTTTCATAATTGTATGTTAAGTTGAAACTTGGATGTGGTGGCGAGAATGCAACTAAAGGCCACTGTATGGTCTCCTACACTTTGGGAAAGGGTGCATTCAGGTGGCTGCAATCTGCCACCTCACCACTAGAGGCCACTCAATCCTAAACACTGGACCTTCAAGTAAATATGCTTTGTTTTGAGAGAGTAAGTTATGTTTCATATTTGAACACCAGTTATGTTAAGTGAGTTATCGTAAAGAAGACTTACATCTGCAGATATATTTCTCCCTCTATGTCACATGAGTCAAACTCAAGGCCCGGGGGCCAAATCAGGCCCCTGGTGGATTTAATTTCGGCCCGCAGGATAATTTCTAATTACTATTAGATCTGGCCCGCCGGTATATTGCACGCACACCTTCACTCAACCCTGAGGATCTCCTCAGCTCAGAGCCTGAGCCCAAACATTGATGAACTTGCACCCAAGATGAGATGCCAAGTATCTGCTTGAACGCATCACAGAGCAGCAAACTGAGTTTCAATGGATGTTTCCTTCTGCCCTTTTTTCTCACGACAACAGGGCATGTTTGGTTTTTTCTTTGAGGGAAATAGTTTTTTTGAAGCTGTTGTTGGCCTGTGGAAAAATGTAATCATAAGAAATGACTCCGGAAAAGCTGCAGATAGAGCCATAAGAAATAAATGCAACTGATTATTTAATGTTTAATGTTGTTTTTATAGGCAATCATGTAAGCTTTGTTAGTTCCAGGTTTAATATGTGCAATAAGTTCATTTCAATACGTTTTGCAATAAACATTGAACCAGTCCGGCCCTCGACTAGTAGCCTACCCATTTTTTTATTTTGGCCCACTGTGTATTTGACCCTGCTCTATGTGCATAACAGTATGATTTATGTGTTTAACACAAAATCACAGACATAGAGATCAGTTGCATTACAAATGTGCTTTATTTTCCTTCTTTACTATCACTGCAGTGGTATATTTTATAAAATATCATCAATAAATGTGCTGTGTTATCTACATCTTAATACCTTTACACTAAATCAAATACTTTCGATGACTTTATATGGCTAATTAACATGATTCATCATAGGACAACAAGGTCATGTCATAATGCAGCTCTCGAATAATGGACATTTGTACCAGGACAATGTGAAGTGTGTTTGTTTGAAGTGTCAAACGGCACTCATAATGGGATTCTTTGGGAACTATACAGAGCAAAGATCGAACAAAGAAGTCCGGATAATGCGAGGAAAGCAACTTGACCCAGATCATGAAGATATATGAAGTACATGCTCATACTTCTATGCCTTTTTTGGACTCACAAATATTTCAGAATCAGGTGTCGTAACAACCGCAGTGAGGACAAAAAACGGTCTGCTCTTCCATGGAGGTGAGAGTTTTCATGGGAGTGTTACTGCTTTGCTTTAACTCCAGGAGACCCTCAGTGTTTCAGCCGGCTGCACTGACTGCCTTTACAGCTCTGCAGGTGCAGTGTGACACAGGGAGTGGAATACATGCCTGAAGAGAACGTGTGATAGTTGGCAGGAGGATGTGTGTGTGAGGCTGCTGTGGAAGACAGCGGCTGAGACCTTTAGAGAGAGGCTGTGGCCCATAGTCACTTTCCTGCATGTAAACAGGAGAGGGAAACAAACACAATACTTTATAAGCTTTACATGCAGACAGGAAAAATAAGGGTTGGCAAGTATTGATTTTGACTAATCTTGCTACGCACATTGAAGTCCACTTTCTGTGACAGAAACAAAGCAGAGGCAGAAAGTCACTATTTGACTTCTTTATTTATTTGAAGGTCGTATTATATTGTATGTTACACTGCTGAAGGAGCCTGGGACTTGTGATTTGTATTGCCCACAACTAGTGTAATGTAGTGACTTATATTTACTCAAGTATTGTAATTCAGTACAATTGTGGGTTATTTGTGCTTTTCTTGAGTATTTTTATGTAATTTAAACTTCTACTCCACTACAATTTGGAAGCCAGTATTGTACTTTTTACTTCACTGCAGTTATTTGAGACAAGTTACTAGTTACTTTACAGATTCAGATTATTAGCTAAAACCAAATATAAGTAAACTAATAAATAAACTATGATATATAATTATAGGTTACGATATCCAGCAGTAGTATATAAAGTAATTAAATGTAGCTCTATCTTCACCTGCTGTAATGAACACACTAATACGAAATATCAAAACGAAATAATCCAGTAACTCCTGTAGAGTTACTTTTACTTAAGTAAAATGTCCAAGTACTTCTTACACCTCTGCCCACAACTATGTAGAAGTTTAAATTACACTATGCTGTGACAGTTGTGCATATGCCAATAAAGC